AAAGCATGTTCACATATGAAGAAATCTCAAGATTCACATTTGGCTTAAAAATTACAAATAATATGAGGTTTATCATTTTGTTGCCCTGACCTCATCAAATTTATTTTTGCAGTTGATATATCACTTGTGTTTGTCCAATTGCTTTATCTGTAAGTAGAAATAACTGAAACTTTTCCTGGGCATTAGATAGAATAAATAGTTGCTTTTCAACTTTAAAACAGTAGAATTAATTGTTGAATATGAATTTTTGATAGAATAATTTAATATTCAAATTGGACCTGATATTTTCTTTGAATTAGTCTCTTCAATTATATTTAATACAGTGGACCAACAATTCTCATCTGCATTTTCCTGACAAATAATTGAGTAGCACTGACAAACAAACCCAAATTCAAACAGTCAACCAGCTATACAATAGTATTATAGGCATGGTACTGTGTGAGAGTAACCATTCTAACATTCCCAAGCATGAAATTAAATTGCTCAGAAAATCGAACAGTCTTTTTAATTGTATCATGAAAGACTATTTTGTTTTTTATTTAATTTATATACTTTTTATTTTTGCTACACGTTTCTGACTTTGATTCATACTACAAAGTGAGAGCACCCAAAAGACATAAATCTCAAAAATTTAAATAAAGTTCAAAGAGATATTCTTTTGTAGAATACTGCTTCCAAATCACATTTGGGTTCCACCAAATGACATGTTCCAACAACTTGCCTGCCCCCTGAAATTTGTCTCTTTGAGATTCAAAAATCTTGGTTTTAAAGGCTTGAGATGCACACTTTCTGAGTCATGCATGCTTAACATGTATATTGCAGTAATCTGTTTTTATGCCATAATCTGCAAACTTCAATTTTTGCTTTTTTGTATGCTATTTATGTAGTAAAGAGAAAGTCATGTAGTGCTGTGGCAAAAACCGTTGCTTTTTTCCAAACAGATTCTCTTTTTGTGGGACCCTCAAAGCAAAAAACTGGAAAAGTTTTATTCCTATAATCCTGTAAATTACTTCCTCCCAACACATGTACACAATTATTGTGAGTTATTGATGTAGAAAATTGGTTGATGGCAAAATGTATGCCTGTCCATCTATCTGTGAACAATGCTAACAGCTAAACTAGGCATGATTTTCAAACAAATTGATATTCCTTAATCCATCTAGCTAATGGTGTAGCTCCTTCTATTTGAAATAGATATTTTAAGTTTGGGGTATATTTTAATGTGCAATTTAAAAATTTTCTCAAAAATAGCTTCAATTTTTTTTATTTTCATAGAAAAAAAATTAAATAAAAACTAGTCTCATGGTCATCAAATTCTGTTAATTTTTGAAAATGACAGGCATTCAAAATCTTTTCAGTGTGTTCCGAAATGAAATTTATTCTCCACAGTTAATTCTTGAATGCTGCATTCATTTTTTTTAAAACAATTGTTTTCTCACAATTTTGGGTGAAATATGTGCAATATTAAAAACAACTTTTTCAAAGTGGCTCCAAACTTTAAACAAAATCTCTTTCTACAAATAGTGCTATGTGCACTTGAATAACATGACATGCACGCCATTTTGAGGTATTCTTTTAATGTTTCTAAAATTACTAAAATGTTCTCTCTCTCGCATTTTAGTGCAAGTGCTTGAAATAATTTCTTACAAATTTTCTCAAAAACTCAAAAGTTTGTGAAAATAAGCTCAATATTGCTAATTGAACAACTGTTCAAAAACTTACAAATTTTTCAATGAAAATGAGCATTTAGAAATAGGTTTAACATTTCTGTATTATTCTTAGTCATATTTTCATTGTACTATTAAGGTAACAAAAAATTGACAAAATGTGCAAAATTAGGTGCGAAGGGGTGGGGCAAAACTGAAAAGGTAGCTGAGACTAGAGAGATTAAGAAACTAACTTGTATGAGAAATTCTATGTCATTCTGGAGCATTGATTGTTTTCATCTTAAATCTGAAGCTGGACTGAGGAGTAATTCCCTACCCGGAATAAAACCTTGCAAGGTATTAGTATGTCACTGGTTTTGTTTAAATTGTTAAAGCTGTAATGTAGCCTTTGCGTATTATATTTATAGAGAATTTTATCAGCACTAATCTGTGCTGTTAATAATAAATAAAAACATAAAGATAAATTTAAAATATTAATAATTATTACACATTATTTTTGCTACATTGGATTCTGTAAAACATTTAAAATTATTTTGAAGCAAGGGGGGTGGGTTGAAAAATATGACTTTAGAATGGATTTGGTATCCCTAAAACCCTTTATCTAATTATAACTGAAATCAACTTTTTCAACTGCAAATGCAGATTTGAATTGTAGACCTTTCTTAAACATTACGGTATCTGATTAAAACATAGGAATGTCAAGAGTGCAGAAAGGAAAATCAGGACTTTTATACCTAGGGGTGACCTTTTTCTACATAGACAGGTACAGTAATAATATATCCATGTAATCATCCCAGGAATACTTAACTTCATTTTTTTAGTTATAGTATATGTTGTTTAGACTTTTGGCTATTTAGTATTGATATTTATTGTGTAAGAAGTGTGTTTTTTATTTACTTTTACATATTATATTAAAATTAATTTTTGTCTTATTCTGAAAAATATAAAGATTTTATGTATGCAATCTGGTAAAATTATTGATGATTCTAGGTCTGGCAGCAAAACGGAAGATTCAAGCAGCTCTTCTACACCAGATTGTTTTGTGCTTCTCCAAGTAGATGGTGCTAATGATGTTTTAAAAGAAGAAGATAATGAAGTGAACCAAATACAACTGAATCAGGAGGAGACTCAACCAGTGCAGAAGGAAATTTTAAACCCAGCGCTCCCGGAGTCAGAGATGTGTTGTGATACCGTAGTTCTACCTCTCTTACCTTGTGATGATTCTCTGCCTTTGTATATAGAACCTGAAATTCTTCCAGAGAATGAGTTACAAGTGCAGACTGGCAGTGATGTAGACTGTAAGGAAGAAGAAATGAAAATAGGTGTATTATTGCCAATAGGAATATCTGGTAATGCTGATGATTTCTCAAATGAGCATTCTGAAGATTATTTACTGAATATTGAGCAGCCTAATGAGGAAAAATCGGGGTATTTCTCTGAGCCTGCGAGTATAGATGGTCCAGCAGGAACGGATCAAGATTGCCTTGCTGAGTGTTTACTGTTGGGAGATCCATGGTTAACTGCCCAGCCAGCTTCTTCAGAAAAGGATGAATTCCTTGAGGAAAATTTCTCCTCCCCTCTCAAAGACCCTTGGGCAATTGATACAGAGAACAGTGGTTGGATTCCTGCAAATGAAAAATATTTTAGTGAAACATCTATCATTACTTTGCCAGAAGTAGATGTGTCTTCACAATATGAAACTGTAGATCTTGCAGAATTGTCTGTGAATAAAAAATCAGAACCAAATTCTGTAACTTCTTCGGAAACAAAAAGAAGACTGTGTAGTTTGATCAAGTCCAGAACCAAAGCAAAGGAATTACAAAGTAGTGATAAAATGAATAGTGAATTAATTAGTGTTGATGAAATTGTGAACTCTGAAGCAACATGTGTGACTGAGTATGAAAACTCCACTTTCAGTACAATTTTCCAGGGTACAGATTATGAACAATTCCTTGATGAGTCATGTTCTATTCTTAATGGTGTAGATGGAAACTTCCTGAATGAAAGTGGTCTTGGTAATGATATCAAAATGTTGGGTTCTAGTGCCATTGAAGAATACAATAAAAGTAAAGAAGAATTTCTTGATGATATGTGTAACAGGTTACGGGAAGGTCTTGAAGAAGCAGTTCTTGACCACAGCCATAATACATCAAAACCAAAGAAATTGCCATTATTTCCTCATTTGAATAGAAGTAGGGATGAAACTGTTGCAAGGCAGTGGCTTCTGGAGTCAAGAAATAGTGGAGGGTGAGTGTCATCAGTAGTTTCAATATTTGTTATTTTAAGTAAATTATGAATCGCAGTGTTTATAATACAAAAGAGTATCTCAAGTATCTCTCAGATTGAAGTACAGAGTAATTGGGCAGCAACATTTCCGCTACTAAGCAGTGCAAGGTTTTATCATTCTATTGCACTGAATAGATTTTGACTTGACTCAACCCTTGCCAAAATTCCACACATTGTAGAGGTGAGAGAACACTGAATTGCTGCAATGTTTTACAATTCCATTCTTGATAAATTAATTAAGATTTAAATCGAAGTATTTTGGGCCAAATTAAGTTTGCTCATTGAAAATAATTTTATGATAAAGTTGAGTTGCTTCACTTGTACACTTTTAAGTTGTCTGTGATGTTGAACCTTCAGCCTCTGCAATGTGCATAAAACAACCATAAGTCAGTTCTCGGTGCTACGGTTATAAGACACACAATATCCCGTGTATCTATAAACCTATCAATTGAAACAACAGGAGTCAATCCTGTGAACCTGCTATAATTTACACCACCACAATGGATTGACATTGCGCCAACATATTTGAAGATATAGTTGTACGTTTTCCTCCAACAACTGTGGTGTTGCATGTCGCAGACCATGTACTTCATAATTTTAATCTTCATTGTCTACTGTAGTTAGTTCAAATTCCTTTTAAATGATACCATTTTTTTTTCTAAAATAGCTGACAATAGCTTGTTTGGAAAGGTATCTCCAATACAAATAATATTTATGATTTATATATGATTGTGACCTAATGAATAATAGTATTCTGTAATTTTTAAGTCTTTTGGTGGAGGTGCTAATTTCCATACTCTAAACAAATGTACTCCAATTCTCAATGAACTAAAGGACAAAATAAATGCAAATCATACAATTTTTCAGAATAACATTAACACAACATTTGTAATAGCTGTTAAAAATAAAATAAAATAAGCGTTAATTTCCTTATTTTAATTTTTGTATTGCAGGTTGAGAGACAACTTACGAAACAGTAAGGTGAATTGCATTACACCAGGGAGCAGAAGGCGAGGAAGAAAGCCCAAATGGATAAAGGAGTTAGAAATGAAACTTTCCAGTTTTGAACAACTTGAAGACGTTAAAAATAATTACCAGCTAAGAAACAGGGGACCGAATGTTAATAAGAGAGGAAAGAAAGCTAAACATTTAAATAAACAGGTAAAAGCAAATCAAAATGAATGTCCAAGTGCAAAGGTCGGTGAATCTCCAGTTCAGTGTCAAGAGCCAAAAACCATAGACAACAGGTCAGTGAAGGAAAGACTAGGCGTATTAGTGAGAAATTCTATCGGGAAAAAACATTCTAGGAAGAAAAGTTCATTGGAAGAGAAAGATGTCTCTGATATTCTCAGTCAAAATTATAGGCCATCACTCAGTACTAGTCTTGCTTCTGAAACTCTGGTTCAGAGTGAAGAGTGTGTGCTTCCTTTCATATGCAATGCCCTACATGTAACAAAAAAAGGAGAGAAATCTTTCATAAATAATGATTCTCTTCAAAATGTTTGTCAAATCAAAGAGAAGGAGGAATGTGATGATAATAAATTTGATATTACTGCAACTTGTCTTAATGAACTGTCTTTGCAATTTGATGAGCATGAAGTTAATTCTAGTGCAATGGATATTCATGACACACTTGTGGCTGCAGATAATGTGAAGGAGGATGTGGAACTTGCTAAGAAAAGAATGGGTCAATATGTGCGACAAAGGCTCGGACTACTCGTAGAATCGCGTTCTAGATTGTGCTCAAAGAGCACTGATAAAGCCTTAACCTTGAAAGTTCCTAATCCTGAGTGTGAAACTAGTGATAATAATTGTAAAGTACTTAAGAGACATCACAGAAATCGAAGAAAAGTTGTTAAGTCGGTAGAGTTGGAGATACCAATTTCTGAAAATGTAAATGTAAGGAATAGCCAAAAGACATGTAACAACCCGCCTTTTAAAAAATCTGAAATGTTTTCTAGTTATGGAAACAGCAATGCTGTAAATACTTGTACAGAAGATGTCAACTCCTTTGAGAAAACCACTCTGTTAGATAGCAAATCTCCTATAAAAGTTACATCTGAAGGTGCAGTATCGCCTATTGTAAATTCTGCCACCTTTGTCAACTCTTCAACAACAAGTTCTACTTCTTCACTGGAAAATGAGTTGCAGACAGGCAGCATACTTATTCTGGAAGAGAAAGACCCAAAAGAAAGAAGCAATATGCCAGATCCACAATATTCCCAGTCCGTGGAAGCTCTTTTAAATTTGTATTCTATTCAGCGGTGCTACGTTAAGTTGCAGAAATGTAATCTGAATGAATGGAAGAAAGTGAATACATTTAAGTGCGAAGATGAAATAAACTCCTTTAAAAGTGCAAGAAAAAAAATGTCTCTTAATGTACATGATGAAAATGTACTGAGCACTACAGATGGACAAAGGAGTTCAGAGGATGTTAATGAAAATGAATTGATTAAAATAAAAAAAAATGTTGACTCTTGCAGTTTTCAAAGTGTGTTACGTGCTAATACAGCCCCAGAATTAGCACGATCATTATTTGACCACAGTAAAAAGCTTCACTGTTCAGAATCGAACATGAAATGTGTGGTTCCTAACAGCCCAAAGTCTCACGATAAAAGTATTAGAAAAACTGGAGACCTGGGAAGTTTGAAGGCTGTTGTTCAGGCAGAATCTCCGCGGGTGGCCGATACTTTGGATACACTACCTGATAATCCTGCACAAGCTATTCGCCACTATGCCCTAGGTGGTGGAACCTTCGTGGACCCATCTGAAAATCAGTCTGTTCGTTTGGTTGGAGATTATCTCAGAGACAGCAATATTGTTGAAGTAGCAAAAATTCCCACTATATGTTACGCAGAGAAAGGAAGTGACAAAACAAGTGAAGAAAATGATCTGCCAAATATTATTAACTCCTCAACAAAGGAGAATATTATCATTAATAAAGATGTTGATCCTTTTAAAAGTTCTGATTTTGAGTTCCTTACATTTACTCGAGGCTGCCCTAGAAAAAGATCTTTAATGAGTGATGAGAATTATCTGAAGAAAAGAGAAAAAATTAATGAAGTAAATCCTTCCAATATTGCTAGTGTTACTCCTAATTATGTCAACTCACCAATCTTGGGGTCTCAAGAAGTGAATTTTGAAGGGAAAGGTGTAGAATATGTTTCAGAAAATACTGGTAAAGAAGAATTTGAAGAGAATTCTAAACATGAATTTTTGAATAATGAAAAGCAGTGGACTAGTAATAATGTGAAAAGTCAATGTCTAAATAAGGAGTGTGCAGAGAAAGATTATACCATAATTTCCTCTGGAATTCAGCGACCAGATATGACAGAAGAAATGTCTTCCTTTTTTCTGTCTAAAGATCATGTGACCTGCCTTGATAAACCACAAACTGAGTTTATAAAGCAAAAATTACTTCAGGTAACAAATAATGAATTAGTTCACCAGAAAATGCTCTGTAAGAAAAGGAGATTGTCAGTTGTGCCAAATAATGCTTCTAAAGCAAAGTCACACTCTGTTTTAAGATTACACAAGAAACTAAGTGCTGCCAATAAGTATCAGGCAATCAAATCAGTTCCCTTGAAACGTTCAAGAAGGTTAGCTACTCTAAAGAAATCCCTTTCTGTTACACAGGCTGAAAATAAATGGTTATCACCAACTTGTGCTAACCATGATACAAAGTGGAATTCTTTTCTGTGGTCTAAAAGGATTTCTTCTTCCCATAAAAATATTTATCACAACTTATATGAAGATTTCAAGTCGAAACCCAATGCAGTAGGAAAGAAATTGACTGATAAAATTCAGTAAGACAAGTTTCACATTAAATACAAATAGTGGCAATAAACGTGATGGTTGAAAGAAATAGAAGAACACGTCAAAATGAAGCTTTTTGGAAAAATGAAAGTGATATGAAATTACAGTCTGCTTTAAAACAACCTCAAGTACAAAATTCAGAATTTAAATTACCATCAATTGAAGAGAATTTGAATAGAACAGAAATGATAAAACACGTGTCTGAAAATTCACCATTAAGAGAAACTGTTTCAAGATTACAAAGAACTTGTGTTAGTAAGAAAAAATTAAGTGATTTGAAGCATTGTAGAAGGATTTCTTCTGCTAATTTGTCTATTTCTAGAACGAGTAATGAAGGCCTTCCAGAAAATGTTGAGGAGAAAACAATAGAATCAGAAATGGAAAAGGATCTTTCGAATAATGTTAAATTAAAATTTGCACCTTTAGTAAATGAAAGTGCGGAAGCTTTGCAGAGTAATGAGATAAGTAAAAATGTATGTAATAGCACAGTTGTTATAAAAGAATCATCTCAGCTGAGGTCAGAAAATAAATTTTTGGAAAATGAACTGTTTTCTAACAAAACTGTGATGCTGGCTGCCCCAGAAGCTGTATTTGATAAGAAAATATCCACTTCTGGTTTATTTCAAAACACACGTTTCAAGAAGAAATGTCATAGAGTTGGGTTTAATACTTCAAATCGTTCTAAAAGAACAACATCTAGTAATAGAGTTAACTGTCCACTTATGAACAATGATTTGTGTGAAGGTATTGAAGAAAAAACAAAATTTGATGAGGATATTCCATTTGACATCAATTTAGTAAAAAATAATTCATTGAGTACAAATAATGGAGACTTGCCCAATATATTACATAAAAATTCAACCGAGAGATGTCCACAGAGCACTTCAAAAGTACAATCTAAGTTGCATCAATCAGGAATACAAAATGCAAATGTCAAGTTTCTGAACGAGTCTGTTGCTAATACTACCAAAAGAAAAGTCCCAAAAGATTCAAAAAATGTGCCTGATAAGATGATGAGAATGTCTAAGGAAAATTGTAAAGCTAAGTTAAATTCTTTGAGGTGTTTGAAGAAATTTACTTCTCCCAGAACATCCATTTCGGGATGTAGTAGTAAAGACTCTGCAGAAAGTGGAGAACAGATAGACACGGGAAATTTCTTAAGGAAAAGTGAGCCGAAAGATGTTGATTCAGCTATTCTTATGACAGTTCATATTGTAAAGGAGGAAGTTTGTGAAAAATTGCAGGGAAGTAAATTATTGGAAAATGGAATTATTTGTGATAGTAAGAACACTTCATCTAAAGAACAAAGTTCAGAAAATGTGTTCGGTGCAACAGGGATGGCTAATTATGAAACTGGCGTGCAGAGTGATCCAAGTGTTGCATCAAGTGAGAAGACGCAGCCCTCTTGTGATGTGTTCCAGAATACACTTCTCAATAAGAAGTATTCTTCATTAATGTCAGATAATTTAAAACGTTCTAAAAGAATAGCCTGTGCCAAAAAATGTATTTCAACTCCTGGCAAGGATGTATTAGATGCAAATTCAGAAGTAACAACCAGTGACATAAAACTCAAAGAGAATAGTTCTGTTGTGTTGAAGTCGGAAACCTGTCTAGACTTGGCCAAAAACATTGAAAAGATGGAGAGGGGAACAGTGGAAAAAGAAGTTCATTCAGCTAATTGCACCACAGTTCTTACTGCAAACAATGGTAATGAAAATTGGCAGAGCAGCAAGTTATTGGAAAGTGGATCCATTTGTGATAACAAGAACACTTCATCTAAAGAAGATAGTTCTGAAAATGAATTAATGGATAAAATTGGAATGACAAATTATGAAACTAGCTTGAGGAGTGTACGAAATGTTGCATCGCATGAAAAGACACAACTCTCATCTAGTGTGTTACAGAATACACTGTCCAATAAGAAATATCCTGTATTTCCATCAAATTCGTTAAAACGCTCTAAAAGAATAGCCTCTGCCAAAAAATCTATTTCTGCTTTTAATGAGGATGTTGTGAATGAGAATTTGGAAGCAACATCACATGAAATAAAACCTGAAGAGAGTAGATCTGTTGTGTTAAAATCAGATCCACAAAAAAATATAGGTTTCTCAAATACTACTTGTAAAAGTTCAGCTTCAGAGGAGAGAAATACATCAAAAATAGAATTTAGATCTTCACAGGCTGACATAACTAGTACTCAACGTAAATTAAAGAAGGCAAAATCTTCGCATGATGAAACTTGCTTACAGTATACTGAAGATTTATTAAGTGATACGACACTCTCCATTTCTAGTTTCCCACAAAATTCACATGTTAATGAGAAATGTACAACTGTGGTAAAATCTTTTAAACGTTCTAAAAGAATAGCCACTGCAAAATTCAATTGTGTACTAAATACTATTAGCCCAGCTGAAAATTTAGAACAAAACCTTAGAAAAGGAGAGAATATTTCATTATCTGTTAATTTAAGATCAAATTCATTATTAAGTAAAAATTGTGAAGTCTTGTCAAATGTGACATTAAATGAAAATGCAGCTCAAGGTGACATTTCTGTAGGGGAGTATAGAATGGACCGTTCAGAAGTACAGAGTGTAAGAAACAAGTTGTCAGACAGTGCTGTGTCTTCTCCTGAAGCAACAGATTTGCTAAATACTCAAAAACATCAAGCAGTGTTGATGACTCATGGAAGACTGAAGAAGAATCATAAAGCAAAGTTACTTTCTGAAAAACTATCTAAGAGTCAGTCATCTATTAAAAAATGTTATTCTGCACAAAATATCAATGGAAATTTTGAAAATTTACAACAGAGAACAGAAGGTATATTTGAAGAGAATTTACCGGCTCATAATAATTTAAAACAATTATTGTCATTACGTGAAAATACAAACGAATTGGACAGTTTGGATGCACAATCACAATTAGATCGCGTGGAGATCCAAAGTGCAAAATGTAAGTTTTGTAAGAACATTTCTTCCAATTATTCAACAAATTTTGGAAATAAAGGAAAAACTTCGTCTGGTAACAAAGCTTATCCTACTTGTGTATTACATCAAAAGATTTGTGCTCATAAAAATCATCTAGGTGTGATGAGTTCTTTAAAACGTTCTAAAAGAATTGCTTCTGTTAAAAAATCTATTTCTGGGAATGACAATATTACTGAAAATGTTGAAATGTGCACTGTCACAACCCCCACAGAAGGAAGTGTTTCAACTGATATTCTCCTTACAAAAGATTCAATGTTGAATGCAAAAGTTGGTAATGAATATCGTATTTATGAAACAATTTGTAAAAAAGAAATAAGTGACAGAGCATTGAGAATAATTCCTCAGTCCAATTCATTGTGTTCTCAAGAGCAAAATACCATAAATGAACAGATCTCAATTATGACAGCATCTTCAAATGAAGTATCTAACTGTCAGAACACTCCAAAATATACTACATTCCGTGTAAATACACGCTCCAATGCTGGATTGATAAATTGTTACAAAACGAAACCCCATGCAAGAAAAATTAATTCGCATGTGGTTTCTACTAAAAAGACTACTTGTAAAAATGTTGAGGAAAAATCGGAAGTAGCATCTTCAACACAAAGTATTTCAGGTAATATTCATTCATCACGAGTCTCATTTATAAATGTAGATAATTACAAAATCAGGCTGAAAAATATAAGAGGAAAGAGAAATAAAAATGAATTAGAGTGTGGTGCTAATGATATTACAAACGTGCAATCAAAAGAAGAGCAAATGCAAAGTCCAGAAAACAAACTGTGTAGCCAAGGAGTTTTCCCACTTCATTCAAGAAAAGAAAGAATCCAAGAAAAGGAAGAATTCATTCCAGAAAAAGTACTCATGAAAAAATCTCGTTTCATTTCTAAATTACACCAGAAAGCAGATGTAAATAATAAATATCGTGCAATAAAATTAATTTCTGTGAAACGTTCTATGAGAGTAGGATCAACCCCCAAATTAATTTCTACACATCAACATAATTCTTGCAAGGATTTTGTGGGAAAAGCCATTGTTACATTATCTGAAGTTGATAATTATGTCAAAGTGAAATCGCATGCAAAGAAACATAAGCTGAATGAAAACACAGGAGATTTGCAGGGAGTGAAGATGTATAAAAGCGTTTCTGAAGGTGATAAAAATAAAAGTAATTCTTACAAAACATCCAGCTCTAAAAATACTTCTGTGCATTTGAAGAATCCCATTGTTAAGCTGAATCCTTTGAATTGTTTTGAAAGGATACCATCGATCACTTATGTAATGTGTGGTAATAAAAATAAAACTGATGATTCTGATACACAAACTCGTGAAACAGAATCCACAAATGTTTCAATGAACTTTCAAGAAAGACATGGCCCACAGTTAAATGAAAAAGTTTGTAATGAGAGAGAAAAAAATAAGGAAGGTCACTGTGAGAATAAACAAATCTGTAAATATGAACATTCTATGAATGTTCAAAGGGGGTTGAATCATTCCAGCTTTCACAATGCAGAATGTAACCATTCATTAGATCAAATGACATCTTCTAATAATATGACTGTTTGTCAAAGTACATCCCAAAAAAAGAGGCATGTTAATTCTATACAACACCTGAAGGCTCGAACAAGTAAAAAGTCTCAGAATGATAAATTAAATCAGTCTAAGGTTTGTAAAGAAAAGGATTCTTTCAGTGAATTAACTCATGATCAAGATCTCCTTAATAAGAATGGAGTTGATGTCGAACTCAAAAGTACAACAAAGTTCTCAGAGGTTGCAGTTAGTACTAATATAAAAACAAATATTAGCACAAAAAACAAAAGATCTGACCACACACTTCAAGAGATTCATGAAGAAGTTGCTCAAAGCAAAGAATTTAAGCTGGAACCTTCAAAAGTTGTTAGTAATAAATCAAGAAATCAGTCTATTCCAAATACACTTTCTGGTGGCAAAAAGAAAATAGAAAAGGTCATTAGTAATCCATTGGTAATTAGTGAAGATGTTGAAAGAGTGACTAAGGAATTGCAAACAAATATACCTTGTGTAGATGGTGCAAATGATTCAATTAATACTGATAACTCAAATGATTTCATGCCATTGACTGTTGCAAAACAAAAATTCAGGAAAAGAAGGAATAGGCAAGTCGTAAATATCAGTGATTTGACTTATCTGGAGCCCTCGAGTATCAGAAATTGTGATGATAAATCTGAAAGGTATGGGGGCAAGATTAAAATCCCAATGAAAGATAGTTCAGCAAAGCCATCTAAGAAAGAAAACTTCAAACCTGTAGATGTTGGGAACAAGATGACTTCACTAGACTCAAAGATGATAAGAAGGCATCACTTACACTCATCTGTTCAAATTGCAGTTGGTGCTACTGACCCTGAACCCATGACGCAAGCAATTCTAATGAAGTACCTCTCATCAGTATTAAAGAGAACTGTTACAAAGAGAGATGTTAAAAAATTTCAACCTCGTGTGAAATTAAAGAGATTAAATTGTAGTGATATCCATTCCTTAAGGTTGAAAAGAAGAAAATTTATGAATGAAATGTGTATTTGTGCGGAACATTGTGCAAAAGGTAAAAGTTAGTTAAATTATTCTGCTAGGGTGAAAATTTAACTTTGTGATATTGTGAGGCCGGTGCGAGTGATATGTTGCCTATTTATATGTGATAACAATCATAAATAAACGTATATATTTTATTGAATGTAATTTCTACATAAAAAAAGTATATGGAAATGTGTTATTTGTTCTGTGTAAAGTATATTTTAATTGTGCCTATATAGGTGTGTCACTAGATCATCAGCATTCTGAACGACCCCAGGAGATGACTTTTGGGTGTATCCATCAAGGAGGACATTTTGTTAAAGTCCTTTGCCAGTGAGTGTTATACTTGACATCCTAGACATTGAATTTTTACACAGGATTTGCACCCAGTAATGTTGTTTTCCTGACCCTAAATGCTAGAAAGCAGATGTGTTTTTGAGTCATAAAAATGCTTAACACATTTCATTCTGCAATGTTGTATTTTGGAATGCAAATGTCTGGTGTGAATAAATAAAAAAATCAATAAATAACAGCATGTATGCTTGACTGGTTTTAGAAGGAATTGAATTGTCTGATGTTTGAGTGAAGAACCTTAATTTTATATGTTGTGGAATTTCTTTCTGCAATTTATTTTTATGTTTCTCCTTTGGGAGGAAGTGCATTTATATTTTTGAATCAGATTGATTTTACTTGCATATTCATGTCGCAATATATGTGCAATTTTCTTGCATACCAATTAAGTGGCTGTGTTTTTATTTTATTTTAAATGTTTGAAGTGTAATTTTATTAATATGCTAAGTTTTCTTGTGTAACGTTATGTATAAAATAACTTTATGTGTCATCTGTACAGTATATTGTGTTAACATGTGAAAGAAAGTCTCAGCATACTAGAACCTTTAGCAATCTTGCAGTATTTTTATGTAATTGTTAGTTGCCATTAACTGTTGTTATCAATGTGCATGATTTTTGTTTGATTGTACTTTAAAAATTTGTACTCTTTTATATTCCTAAAGCCATATTTCTATCTGGAAAAATGTGAAAGAGATTGTAAAAGATTCTCAGCCCTTTTATACAGAAATTACTGCATTTGGGTATGTAATTTACATGATTAGCAAAATATATTATTTTCAATGTATTTAATGTTTAGTACATTTCATTATTTGACAGTACATTTGGAAATAGTACATCCTATATAGTCATTAATATAATTTTTAATGTTGATTTGGTCTAAAAATTATATTTTGTTAAAACAAATGTGTGTTACATTCTGAGTGTGATGAAAACTTAATTACTGGCAAAACATATTACTTATAGTTATTGTACATATGACATAAACTGTACTTGCTGGTGCCTGAGAAATTTGTACAACTTGTTCAAATGTTACTCTGTATAATCATATTGAAAGTTTTAAATAATGAGATAAATCCACTTGTATAATAAATAGTATGATCTATTTTATTTTTGTTCCATTACCTCTTACTATACATCCTTAATCATCATTACCTATCACAAACTATATGACAATCTCAATATTAATTTATTTACTATCATGTGACACATTCAATTTTTGCCATTGACATATATTTGTATTCTTCGCTTCATGTGTTACAGACAAACAGGGACTGATGAAGATCAACTGAACCACATTTTGATTAGAAATGAAAAGGCTGTAATAGGAAAAGATGAAGTTTTAAATAGTACTTTTTTGGACTCCTACATTGAAACTTCGAATATAAAATTACAATTTCCACTGTTAAAATCGAGTACTTACGCCAGTGACTGGCAATCCTGTGATGATCATAAGCCAGCATCAGAAAGGGAGGCATGCACTGACAAAACCAGAGACATCTCTTCAGCAAGTACTGCTTCTATTTCACCTGCAGATTCTCAAACTAAGGAGTCAAGACATTACTGTTTGACTGAACCATTTGAATTAAACAGAGGAACACAGTCATTTCTCATAAAAGGTGATTCATGTGAAAACCTTTCACGGGTGTGCTTTAGAGAGTCTTCGACATCACCTAATAATTCTAATTTATCCACAGTTAATACAACAATGCCTGTTAAACAGAATATTGTGCAGAGTTCTTTCGACAGAAAATCAGTGAACAGAAATACCATTATTACACCAAAGAAAATGCCACCATCAAAAAAACAAATTTTTCAAAGTCTTCCTGACTTCAATTTTCCTCCACAAATATTCTTGAAACCGTTTTTCAGCAACGCTTCAGATATAGTAGAAAGAAAAGAAGTGGGTCATAAGGACCTCAAGATTCAGAGCCGCAGTGTTAAAGAACTTGATTTATTTGTAAGCATGATTCCCAATTTAAAAGGACTGAAGACGTATAAAGATGAAGCAATTCAGAATCTTTGGGAGCATTCTCAGACTTCTGATGAGATAGAAAATATATTTAATCAAGGAAATTTAAAAGCAGCTTTGGGAGGGCAAAGAGAAACAATTCTTACTCCTTGTTATTGTCCACCAAGTGTTGAGGAAGTAAAACTCTGGGCAAAAGCTCGCTTTCTACATAAACAAAAAACCAAAGAAAGTAAAAAATGCAAAAAGGAAGAAACAAAGAGGTTGAAAAGTTCAAGTGAAAAGGATGTTGGAAAATTTGTACAAATGTCTGCAAATTCCTCACTATTTAGCAGCCAAGGATCATCAGCTGAGGATTTTCCAAAGGCAAGTAACAAATATACTTACATGCTGTGATGAGTCATCCTGTTCATAGAAATTATTTATTCTCTTTCATATTATTTTATTTTTGGGGTAACATTTATGAAGCAACTATTTGTTCAGAATGAATTGAGAAATTGAAATTTTCTACGAAGTTACAATTCGTAAAATAGAAACAGCAAGAGAATATCCAGGATTTGAATTATTCTTTTCCTGTAGTAATTGTTAGTCACTTTAAATGTCATGCTTGTAAAATGTAATTATTGTTTCTAAAAATATTTAGAAAGCAGGTGTTTCCTTATATGTTACATCAGTTGTTTGTTTCCAATGAATCAGAATTAAAATATGCTGAATGAGTAAAGTAAATAAAAATATCAATAATAATGAAATGTATCAAATATATTTATCATCGCTAGGTAAGAAAATCAAAAGCAGTGACTAATATTTTGAGTGTCTGAACTATAGGCAACTGATAGCAGCAACTCCTCTGTCAGCAACCTCTTGGCTCAAACACAGTTTCGGCAGCAGTTGGTGACACCTCAAGCTGGAAAAAGTCATGATTCTCTTGGTTTTAAAATGTCTTATGAGAACCTTCAAGATTGTCGAGCAGTTGTGGAGGTAGTATTTCACTTGCAAAATAAAGTTAAATGTAAAGTAAGGATATCGTATAAAAATATCTTATGATCGTTGGATCTGTTTTAGCCTCAATACCTCACTCTTCTTGCTATAGAATTGCACATTCAAACAAGAGGAGATTTGTGTCCAGACCCTGCTCACGATTCAGTTTGTGCAGTATTTTATTGTGTTCAGAATGATGTCCCACAAGAGAGTATGGTGCCTAATCTCGTTACTGGTGAATCAGCTTTATTTTTATATTATTTATAAAATAAATGTTGGGTTTTTATTCACTGCACAGTATCTCTTTCTATCTTATACCAAAGTTCGATATAGAATAGTAAAACAGTACTTTCAAAATGTTTAAATCATGATTTTGCTCTCTTGAAAATGAAAATTTAAATTTCTGATAAAAAAGGTTTATTTCTGTTAAAAAAGGAAAATTTTCCTGTACTGTTTTTTATATGCATTATGACAAACTAACTGTGAACAATATTAGTTGCAGAAAGAAATTTGTCAATGGTTAAATTGTAAATTTTGGAAAATCCTGGAATCTTTTGATTTCATATTCACTGAACACTGACCATAATATGTCTGCAACTGACTAGCTACATGACAATGTAATAATATGCATATTTATCCTGATGTTTACGTTTATCTTCATAATCACCTTGAACACAAAAGGTTTTGGCCTGTTGACCCATTTCTTTTAATTTGAATCAGTATTCCTGTAATCGCTTCCAAGATGTTGTTTTCTTGGTCTCCCTGGTCTCTTCTTCTTGGCTTGTATTTGAGTGCCTTTCTCAGGAAGCATGCTATTTTCATTCTATTTGTGTTCTTGCCATTTCTTATAGTCTTCTTCTTGTCAAAGATTAGGTTCTTCAACCTGTTGCAGTGCCCATTTTGCTCAAGGTCTTCCAATATTTTTTTCCTTGTGGTTGATACTGCATTGCCAAAGCTGGCAGTCTGCTACTTGGCATTCGTCTTAGATGTTCACAGCATTTTATGTTATTTGTTACAAGCTGGTCAAGCAATGATTCTACCCAAAGTTTCTCTCGATTATCAATATTCCATTTTTTTTCTAATATTCAATACCGTAAAGTACCTCGAATAAATTTCATTTCTGCTGCCTATACTTTAGATTCGTCTCTTTTTGTCATTACTCTAGCTTCATTTCTCTAAGTTAGTATAGGCATAACTACAATATTAAAAAAAAATTTTCTAGTATCTTTCCAAGTTTTATTCCTTCATTTTCTGTGAATTGTTCCTCATATATTTCGGAAATTGTTTAATTTTTAAATACAAATCTATGTCTTTTCTATATGAAATGTGGCATCCTAGATACTTAAAGAGTAGAACTTGCCCTATTATTTGTCCTATTACTATTTTAGTTCTTACTGGTATTTTTCTTTTAAATGCCTTTGTTTTTGTTTTTAGTTGATCTGTCAAGATGATATCCATCCTTCTTCCTATGATCGAAAAAAATACGACTTATCCTGATACCCTAAGAAAATAATGGAAATGGTCTAGTATCTTGAGAAATACAAACAAAAACAAAAGTACAGGAAAAAAATAACAGGTGTTTAATATTTTTTTTATATCTATTCAATGATACCAAACATGACCCTCCAACCCCACACAGGGGCTAGGAGCAACTTCGAAATGTTAAATAGAAACCCCCATTTTTTATTGAAGATTTGGATTCTCCATAAAAAAGTAATCTGGTTGTATCTGATTGTTTTTATTTGCGATAGATGGCACTGTAATCACAGAACTAACTTTATTCCAATTTTGCTGCAAACATATGGAAACAGTCAAACATCTCAATAAATACACTCAAAGGTAACAAAATAAAACACACTTATTTGATGATGTCAAGTATCACCCTCTGGGGGTGTGGCAGGGTATTTTTTGAAATTTTAAATAGAAACCTCTATTTTATAAAGTAAGTTGTGTGATTACAGCAGTATCTATTGTGTATCCAAAAAAAAAATTCAGCTACAACTTGCTTAAGGATAACTTTCAGTTACAACTTGCTCTTTACGGAGAATCTGAATCTGCAATAAAAAATTAGGGTTTCCATTTAGCATTTTGGACTTACCCCCTGCCCCACCTCCAGGTGGTGGTTGGGAGGTCAAGTTTGGTATCATTGAAAAGATTTTTGAAACTTATCAAAAACTTATTTTTTATTTCTTTGCTTGCAAATATTTTTCCTTAGATATTTGACCATTGCGGGACTTTCAGTCCACTCTGTATATTCTTTCTTCTTTTCGGACATTAATTTTTCCCTTTCTTCATTTCAGGAATGCTCTCATCTTCTGTACTTTTAACTTTTTTGTTTACTACACAATTACATATAGAAGGTATTGTAAAACTGCAGAAAAAGCAGTGAATTCTTGACAGTAAATGCAGTTTTGTGGCTCCCTCATAACAAAAATGTGGAAAATTATTTTTCCTATGTGTAGAAAAAAATTTTCTTTAACATGTTGTGAAGTCAGAATCCACATTTTGTGGGTCTTAAAAATTGTTTTTCTGGATGGATATCTGTCTCTCTGTGAACAGCAGTAGTGGTTAAACCTTGGGCAGAATTTGTACGAACGTTGATATTCCCTTCTTGATCTGGCTGATGCTACCCCCCTACCTGGCCACCCCTAATAATTACATTGAAAAGCTACAATTTGTTTTCTGTCATTGTCTTCTGTTCAGTACTCTCATCTTCATAATCCTCTAATTTCATCATCTTGATGACCTAGCACATATCATCCAGTATGCATTAGTAAATTTTCAGATTATTTTGTTGTTGTTTTTTTTATTATTTTATAAAAGAAACAATTTAAAAATTTAATGAATGTATGCTTCCTGTTTAAAATAGCCTTTCCTATCAAATAACAAAGTAAGGAAAAATGAGGATGACTATTATTCTATTTTGTCCTAAAATTAATTGGTCCTTCCAAATCATACTGAAAAACATGCCACTGTTTTGTATTAGTAATGGGAGAAATTGATTCTATTCAATAAATTCGTTAATTTTGGCATTGTTCGCTTAAAGTGTAATCTTAATCAAATTTTAACTGAAGATTTCTGAACTCATATATATTGTTTTTGTGTAGGGATGATAGTTGTTCAGAATTCAACTTTCAAGAAATCACCTCTTATTCATAATATTGAAGTCGATTGCAGGATATCTTATGTACCAAATGAAAAAGCTTTGATGGAAGAAATAATTCAACTGGTGCAATTATGGGATCCCGACATTTTGGCAGGTTATGAGGTAAGTTTTACTCATATGCACACAGCATTTTGAATTTCAGTATGATATTCACTCGCAAAATGTTATAGGTGGAAATGCTGTCATGGGGATACCTTTTTGAAAGAGCTTTTGTGTTAGAAATGAATTTGTGCCCATTGGTTTCACGTATCCCAGGCACTCGTCAAGGAAATAAATTGGATGAGTCAGTAATGGACCTTCCAGAAGAGTTCTCTTTACTGGGACGCATAGTGTTGAATGTTTGGCGTTTAATGAGACATGAAGTAAGAGTGCTGTGCCACTTGCTGTTCTGTGAATGTTCTCCAAAAAGGGTACTTCACTAAATATTCTAACTAAATTGTTTTGGCCAATAGGTTTCTCTCCAGAGCTACACATTTGAAAATATATCATTCCATGTGCTTCATGAACGAATTCCTCTTGTGTCCTTTAAAACACTTACTCAGTGGTGGGGACATCGCACTAGATGCTTTTGGGGTCGTGTAGCTGATCATTATTTGTTGCGTGTACGAGGATTGATAAGAATTCTGGAACAATTGGATCTTATTAATAGAACAAGTGAATTGGCTCGTATATTTGGAATTCAGTTTTATGAAGTTCTGTCAAGAGGTTCCCAGGTAAAACACAAAGAAAAATAATTATTGTATTGTGTTAGTCAGTTACATCCGAAATAAGATTTTGTATGATTTTGTTTGAAATGTATTTCCTACAATGTATTATATTGAACCCTATTGTATAATATAGTGGGTATGTGAAGGTCACGCCCTTGATTTATCACCAGTAATTGTTATTATTTTTTGTATCTTTTTGAAGGGATAATTTAGTCTTTTGTAAACATACACCTCAATCTAATATCTATTAATTTTTATGCAGTTTCGAGTAGAATCAATGATGTTAAGGTTGGCCAAGCCAATGAATTACATCCCAGTGTCACCAAGTGTCCAGCAGCGAGCTCGAATGCGTGCCCCGGAATATCTTCAGCTTATAATGGAGCCTGAATCCCAACTTTATGTTGACCCAGTTATAGTGTTGGACTTTCAAAGTTTATATCCTTCCATGATCATTGCATACAACTATTGCTTCTCCACCTGCTTGGGTCGTGTTGAACATCTTGGACAGTAAGTAACAGATGAAGTAAGAATACAAAATTTCCTTTACCCAAATGTTATATACTATTCTCTGTGAAATGGCTTGGTAATATGAGGTAATTTTTATCGGTTCTAATATTATAATCTTTTATATTCGAAAATATGATTAATATTAAAAGATCACGACTTAACTTTTATCCAATTGGATGTATTTATTTGTACTTGAATCTCATTGAGATGCATCCATGTGAAAGACTATGGTATTGTTCAAAATGTATAAAGGAATCAAATCCAGTTGACATACATTAAAATATTGTTCACAAATTCAAAATATTTGTCACAAAAAACATTTTCATAAATAAGTTTGGTCTGGATGCTTCTTGCCTACCTTCTTCATTACTGGTCTTTACAAATTGCCCATTTACAAATGTTCAAAAATCAAAATAGAAACGCTCCTTATTGAAAGAAGAGCACTTTTCTCCCTATTCATTGTTTTGTTGTGTTAAAATATGACATGATTTTAAAGATGTTAAATTGTTTTTTAGATAGGTGAGAATTATAGTTTTCTTGGTGAATATTATTTAGAATTTTAAACTGTTTAAATACTTCCATGAATCTTGTTTATTGTGAGCTATTTGGCCAATACATTGGGCAGTATCATGGATACAGGATACTGTAAATTACTTGATGTACACTACAAAGCCTAATTTATTAAAAAGATGTATGTTATAAAGAGATGTTCACTCCATGATTGTTATGTGTAAAACTTCCAAGGGCATTATATTCTCTTGTCAAATGCACCCTTGGTATTTTTATGTGTAACAGTTGTGCAGTACACATATTTTTATAACATAAATGTTTTTAAAGGAATTAGGCTTTGTAATGTATATAAGATAAATTAGGCTTTGTTGGCAGATAATTGACTGTATTCATGTATGCCCAATATATTGGCAAAATTACTCGCAATAAATATAATTGAATTTATAAAAAAATATACTTATTGAACTTATCAAAATTATCTTTAAAAAACATTGAAGTAGATATACTAAAATGATGGTCTTATTCATGCCGAAATTATTCATTATATTCTAGGACTTCACCTTTTGAGTTTGGAAGTTCTCACCTTCTTGTCCCTCCTGAACAAATCAAACAGCTTTTGGGAAATATTCATATATCTCCAAGTGGACAGGTATTTGTCAAGTCAGCTGTACGTAAAGGAGTAATGCCTCTCATGTTGAAGGAAATTCTTGATACACGACTAATGGTGAGTTTTTTATTGGTTCTAATAAGAGTTTTTAATACATTTGTGATTTTAAGAAATGTATTTGCAATTTTGTTCTTAAATGTACGGAGCACTAATGAAAAGACTTGAGGGAATATAAAGGCAGGTCAGTATACTTATTCTTTCCACAAAACACTAACATACTGATTAGCACACATCTCCAATTTTCATAATATATCTTGAAGGTGATATGTTAATTCAAGGGAATGTCCATTTGTGAGATCTCTTTATAAGATCCCCTCCCCCTAAACCTCTGAATTGCTTCATTAATTTCTTCTGCTAGTCAGTGAAGGAAAATTTTAGAAATGTGTGGACAACTTTGAAATGGGCAAAATATGATAGTATACTATAAATTTACTTCTGGAAAGTGTTCTTTACTACCTATTTTATTAATACCTATTACTACTTATTTTGGCATTTGTCAGCTTTATTTGGTCACCCACTACAAAAAGGATATCATCATTATGCCTGTGAAAAATAAAGTGATGTATACTAGGAGTATGCCAATAAGCCTGTATCCCCATATCATATTTTGTGAAGTTTTTGTGCACAAATCAACAAAATATGCATATTTTTCCTTTTGCCGAAAAAAATTCACCCTCCAATTGACAAAAGCATTTCTCGAAGATAAAGTATGTTATTATTCTCATAAAAGTTGCACCAATTTACAAATTACAGTACAAATAAATAATATATTACTATTATGCATTAGTTAAAAGAAATGTTAATGTTCAGTTTTTCAGTCAATTTGCAGTGTGGAAGTATGTCTTGCATCACTTCAATTGCTCGCTCTGCACAGATATTTGAACACTGCGTTGGAATAGGTGTTGGCTCTGTGAACTAAAACTTCTTCAACGCCATCAAAGCCATTGGATGCTCCTTACAAGCTTCTGAAATATTGCCAAAGTCTGTAATATTGAAACACTGAGCAGAGAATCAGATACCAGCCCATGAACCACTGATAAAATCACTTGCTTCTTCTGCTGCTGGCAAAACTCGGGTATCAGAATGAAAGCAAACTAAATATAAACTGCCTTGGAGTTCCATCTCACATTATTGATAGCAGAAAGTGAAGGGATATTTACTACTGGAAAGCTTTCTTTACTTTTGAAAGTCCTGTAACATGAAATCTTCAAACTTTTTGAACAGATAGTGTTAATTTAAGATGACATAGAGTTAATTTTGATTTATGCATTTGTTTTTTTCAAATGTTACACAAATGTAATTTTTTTAAAGATTTACCATGCCTAAAACGTGCACATTTCCAGCACTTTGTAAACATTATTGCATTTCTGTCTGGAAGTGCTTGAAATGACATCGTTGGAAGGTTTTCGAGAACTAAATAGTTTTCTGTGAAAAGAGGTTCGAATTTACAGTAGGGCTTAAATGTCATTTTCTTAAAATGAGCTCCAAATTTCCATTTAGGGTTTAGAAAATTGCCATTTAGGATAAAGTTTTACTGTTCTTGAACATTCTTAAAATAGTATATTCTTTCTACTATTAAGAAGCCGAAAAATTAAGTTTCATTTCAAAAATATGTACTTTGGACAACGATAGATGCCAGCTGGCTAGAGTATGTGGCAAGTCCGATTAGCTAGCTGAGACCAATGGAAATAGAAAACTAATAGGGGAGAGTCTGTGCCATTCTGTAGCATCTCTAGTAATTTTTTGAAAATGAGAGTTAGTTTTATAACAATGTGAGATAATGTCTTTACATAAATGTATCATTCTTCTAATTGGAAAACAAAAATGGTAATCGATAGTTTTAGTTACACAGATTTATCATGTTTTCACAATATTGCACCAATTTAGCACATTAATCCCATTAAACCTCAGTGTCCTAATTCTATCTAAATAATAATCCTCATCACTTATCCTTATACATGTAGTCATGATTATTAAAAATGCTTAGAAGGTGACATTTTTGAACAACTAAAAGTTTCTATCGATATTTTCTGTGGAAAAAAAACGATGTCCACTCTTGGCAGTATGGGAATAAAAACATTTCCCCAAAATACTTTTACTCATGTAGCTAATGTACACTCATATTCACAACGACACGCTCACTGACTGACGCTACCGGGAAGGTTATTGAACACACGGTGAGAGACAGAAGGGGACATTCTTCCAGAACAGCCAAGTTTACCCCAAGGACTAGTCAAATGTACGTTTTGAATCAACTAACCCAACAACAAATAAAAAGTATTCAAACATCATAAATAATGCAATCAATACTGTCAAGAATTGTCTCTACTTTCAATAACATGCGAAATTCATAAAATTAAGTTGCAGCTTGTGTCAGACGAAGACAGAAAATTGGCATCCCCCTTGGATGCTGCGCTGTGCTCTGTGATCAGTTCAAAGATGTATATATTTTTGGACCAGATCGCCAGATCTGAGACCAGTCTTTCTGCGCTGTAAGCTCCTGTTTGGTTGCCGTGTGAAACCAACAAAGGCCCAATGTTGACACGAGACATGGTGCCGCATGGTGCACTGCCTAGGAATATGAGGTCCTGAAAGGTTTGATTTAGGTCCTATCCTCTTTCTGTTATACGTAAACAATATTCCTTAGTCTATTAAAAACAGAAAAACTGTTCTGTTTGCAGATGACACAAAAGTTTTTTGCAAAAAAGATACAATAAATAGTACAATTTCAGAAGTTTAAAATTGGTTTTGTGATAACAAATTAATAGTTAACAAAGAAAAAAAAACAGTTTCAATGCATTTTCGCATTTCAAATCAGTAATCACATGTTCCATTGAAAGTGAATGATGTGCAATTAGCTGATGTTAAAGTAACAAAATTTCTGGGTCTCTCAATTCAATCAAACCTTAAATGGAATGTACATATAACAGAATTAACACTAAATTAAGTTCATGAATTCTTTCAAATTCTGTCTGCCTTCATGCAGCTTGTTGCATGTATTTTGCAAATGTGCATTCCTGCCTGAGATATGGCATAATATTCTGGGGAAGCCCATCATGTAGTATCCAGTCCTTTTTGATTGCAAAAGAAAATTATTTGAAAAATAAAAAAATGCCATCCGTGTGATTCCTGCAAACCTCTCTTCGTTGAGATTGGAATATTGCCATTACCTTGCCTATTTATTTATGAATCTGTGATATTTGTCAAAACTGACTTGGGTAACTGTGGGAACATATTTTCATGCAATACTGATATTTATGATTACAACACACCTTGTAGAGATCATGTTCAAGTGCAAGTATCAACAGCTCACTATTGCTCTCTACTACTGCACACCGGCATCCCGCCACAGCGACGAGTATTGACGCACTGTCTTTTAGGATGGATGGTATCATTCATGTTAATGTTTTGCTCAAAAGCAGTACCAATAATTCAAATTCTTACATCAAGACTCTGAATACCCTTAAGAAGCATTTCCCGTGAATTCAATCCCAGAAGAAGTGTGCACAAAGCTTGCTGTTGCACGATAACACGCATACACACATAAGTGTCGCAACAAGAGAATTCACAGAGAACTCTGAACGTGCTTCCCCATCCCCTAAGATTTCCATCCCTTTGAGCCATTGATAAACACTAGTCGGGGAGGAAAAATTGAAGCTGACCTGAAGTGAAGGAAAGGCAACGTCAGTGAGGAAAAGACTTGGTACCAAGGCACACACGCCCTATTTCACGCTGCTGCTAGGCTGTACAAGTGGATGGAAATAATGTAGAAAATAGACCCTGTAGATTAAACATATATTAATATTTTGTGCAAATTTCGGGTTCTTCCAATTAATATTTGTAACGGACCCTCTTAAATGCCTGAAACACGACCTGAATTCATTTAACCTTTTTCAGCGTAAACACGAAATACTTCTCAAATAAGTTTATGACAGTGTTAACATATAATTCTCAGATAGGGTTAGCGCCTAGTATAATAACAAATGTGAATTTACACTTCCACCAATATGTTTTCAATACGAGTGCTGAATGACATTTATTCACTTCGCAACCTCTGATGGAAAGGGACCTTGAGACGAAGTGGAGGGGTAACAAAGATTTTCATTAAAAGCTAGCCTTCAACCCTGTCAAAAACCCAGAAAGTTAGAGTGGTCTAATGATAATGTGAAGAATGTTACCTTTTGTAATGCTGAACATGACTTGCAAGGGTCCTTTCAACAGATGCTGGTAGAAATATAGCTTCCTTTTTTTCTGTTGATAGATATTCACTATTTCTATGTGCAATGAAAAAATAGTTATTGCTGACACACATTGGGAGTTACTAAAATTAGAGTGCTACATCAGCATATTCTTTCTCGCAATATTACAATAGTGTCTTTACGTACGCTGGGACGTCCATGTTTCATTAACAGGGAAAGGGTTTCTATCTCAATACGTATTTACTAAATAAGCCAATATCAACACTATTTTGCAATATCTAAATGTTGCACAGTGTGAAGAGTTGAAAAATGCTACTTTTATTTTCCATATTTGGGGTTTTGGTGAACATATTTGAATAAAAGTGTGTATATTTTCCGATATCTTATAAAATCAGTCCATATTCTAGCATATTAAGATTAACACTCAAATTTCATTAACTATTAAAAATGCATCTTAACAATAAGAGCTTAAATTTTTTTAGTAATTCCTTAAGCATTAGAGTTAAAAAAATTGGGAGAATTGACTATGGGAAAGAAAGTTAAGAAACTGTTGATGATTTAATTTTTGTGAAGAATAGATCCACTCTCCGGCCCTGAGTTTCTGCCTGAGGGGTCTGTGTGTCACGCTGGGTGAAGGGGGGCGAGAACTGTTGGATTTGTTTGACAGATGATGTTAAGACCTCGATGGTCTGTGGGGAACTCACCTCTCTTCAGTATCCACCCCTTCTCTTTCCCTCTGAGGCTGCCACCTGGAAATTGAATAACACCGCAGAGACTTGAAAATCAGAATTCAATTTTTACAGCTCCTCATTGTCAGTTACAATCCAGTCAAAATACTACGTGTTCAGTTGTTAATCTCTCTATTAAGCCAGTGAAAACGCCAAAAGTAAGCAGAGTCAGTCAGTGTAAAATTAAAAGTTACATTTCTGCATTTAAAGATGAAGGTTTATCAACTGACAATAAAATAGTATTTTGCCATAGTCATTTTTTATCGTATGAAGTTCATATCTCACTCCACATTCGGTCAAAATAACTAATGGAATGATAAAAATATTTCATATATTTTTAGTCGATATAAATCCAGGGAATGGATTTATTACTCATAAGGGACAGTGAAAAATATGGTTATAGTCCCAGTTTCGGATATCGCTCTTTTTTTTCCGAAATTTGTAGCAAAAAAATTTAAAACTACAGAATTGAAGATCGAGATTTTTGCCTCAGGCAAAGTGTCACATTTTTGAAAAACGAGTAGTTTCTGCATAATTTGGGCTTGAAATTTACACAAGCTTTTTTCTTCAAAAATGCTCAATTTTTTTTCTTTAAATATTATCCACATATGTAATAAGGGACAGTAAAAAATATTGTGCTAGTCCAATTTTCGGGTATTGCTCGCTTTTTCGAAAATTGCAAAACAAATCTGCAAAATTAAAGGAGATTTTTGCCTCGGACAAAGTCTGCTGTCTTTTGTACAAAATTAGCTCTTTAAGAAAGGTCATGTACAATTTTTTTTATAAACGTTAGTAGGTTTCGCGTAATTTCTGTTTGAAATCAATGATCGATAGGGACATTAATGTCATCTGTGGTGATTTTGCCGGTCGTTTCCCGTTTCGCTCTAGCGTCTGTTTCACAACTTGGCCGAAGTTTTCGCGATTCCGCTCGATGACATCACGGGCTCTCGTCTTTTTGACGGATCAGATTTCCGCTTGACGGGTCTCGAGGTTTACCTTCTTCCTGCTTTCCCGAGAACTTCAGCTTGTGTCTTTCCTTGGGCCGATCTGATCACCGCATATCCTCTTGGCTTGCTGAGCTTCGTATTGTTCATACGTCAGTATCAGCTCTTTCCACCCGCTTTTGGAATGTTCTAGGTTCAATGTAAGTTTAAGATTTTTGCCTTCTTTTTTCCTTTCACCAGAGTCCATCATGTTAACTCCTTTGTGCAGCTCCCTCGTCATCTCGACTCTGGCTTCTCTCCAGCGCCGGAGGCCGCTGTGAACGTATCCTTCCCTCTTCCAGTATTTTTCCCATAAGCTTCTCTGTCTTTCGATTCGTGAGTGCTATCAATTGTCTCCCTGATGAGTTGGGTCTGTCCATTTTCAATGTCCATATACTTACTTCTTTCTTCTGTTTTTGAGCGATCTTCTAAATCAGGCATAAAACACGCTCAGGGGAGCTTTTTCCTTTTGCTCTTCCACATCCCTTTGCTGACATGGGGGGTATTTAGTCTTACAAGAAAGACTGAAGAGTGATAGATCTTATACTGTTATAAATACTTAAATGCTTTACATTTTAGGTGAAGAAATCTATGAAGGAACATAAGGATGACAAGACTCTTCAACGAGTTCTTCATTCTCGGCAGCTAGGTCTCAAATTAATAGCAAATGTAACATATGGTTATACAGCTGCTAATTTTTCTGGTCGAATGGCGTGTGTTGAGGTAAATTCAGAAAATTACGTGAAATTACTAAATTTCTACCAAAATTCACAATTCCGTTTATTTTGGTTAAACTTTTGTACAACATGAAAGTTAAAGAATTTTTTATTAATTGTTTGCCATCTTGTGTAATTCCAATGATGTATGAATATTATGTTTTAATTTAATTCAAAGTTGCACAAGTGTATTTTGATGAACATCCTGTTATTAGGTTGCGGATAGTGTTGTAAGCAAGGGCCGTGAAACTCTAGAAAGAGCTATTCATCTAGTGGAAAACACTGCACATTGGGGTGCTCGTGTTGTGTATGGAGACACTGATTCCCTTTTTGTGTTGGTCCCTGGTCGAAGTCGAGAAGATGCTTTTGCTATTGGTGCCGAAATTGCAGAGGCAGTTACACAAGACAACCCACATCCTGTGAAGCTTAAGTTAGAGAAGATTTATCAGCCCTGTATACTTCAGGTAATAGCATTACTGCATTATTTATATTTTTCATTTTCTGAATCTTTTTTAAGTTAGATTATAAATCTGTTTACCCTCTTAAAGACAAAAAAACGATATGTTGGTTATATGTATGAAAGTGCCAACCAGAAAGAACCTGTTTATGATGCCAAAGGTATTGAAACTGTTCGCAGAGATGGATGTCCTGCAGTGGCAAAGGTAATGATATATTTTGATTTTGAACTTGGTATTTATTCTCCCTCATTGCTTTTCATTTGAGTTTCATCTTACCAGGTGTTGGAGAAATCTCTTCATTTGTTATTTGAAACAAAGGATATGAGCAAGGTGAAAGCATATGTGCAACGAAAATTTTCACAGATACTTGAAGGTCAGATGAGTATTCAAGATCTTACATTTGCTCGAGAATATCGTGGAAAGGGAGGATATAAACCTGGAGCTTGCGTTCCAGCATTGGAATTAGCAAAGTAAATGCTAACATTTTTCTCAGCTCTCTTGTTTGAAGGGTTTTTTTTTTTCTTGAATTTTGAAAACATCATTCAGAGATATCTATTTGTAAAATAAATTGGTCAAACGACCTATATTTATTGACAGACAATATCAAAAACAGATTAAACCACATTTCAGTCATGTATTGTGATCTTTTTTTAAGTCTGAAGAGTACTTAGATATAAACACAAAATTATATATAAAACTTGAGGTAAAAAAGGAATGAACTATTAGAACAATACCTTATATTTTGTCCATTCAAATTCAATAAAATAAAATATGTACTGGTAAAATATTCATTAGGGTTTGGTCATTAGACACAGAGTAAAAGCATTCATAATACATTATTGTATTGTAAACCCCCCCCCCTTTATCTCGCCCACCTCGGGATAATTATCCCAGGGTTGACCCAGTCACTTGCTTCCCCGGCGCGTGATGCTTGGAGGAGGCATGCGTGCGTGATTAAGGCTTGTGTCTCGCCCAAGACATTGAAACGACAATGATAATAATAAAGAGAATTTAATTGGTGAAAAGTTGGTTTAAAGGGGAGATCCCCGAGGTGAGGCCTCGTATTACAATAATGAAATGAAACTAACTTCAATATAATACTTCATCTAATCTGGATCACCGCGTAGCGGCCTCGGGGCCCCGGGACCTTTGGCAGAGCACAGCATGGGTTCCTCTCTCCGTGCGGTAGTCCGGCTCAGGGCTCCTGCGTCGGGTAGCCTCGGTGGCGGTGGCGGCGGTGCCGTCAGCTCTAGCAGTGCACGCCCCACGCCCCTCGGGTGAGGGGGAGGAGGCCGGGGTAGGCTGCGGGCGGCAGCGGTAGCCTGGCGGTGGGGGCGCGCACCCTTCGAGGAGGGCTAGATGTGCTCGTCGTGGCGCGCGCCCGCGATGGCGGCGTGCACACACGCGCTCGTCTGCTGAAGAAATGCGGCTCGGCGGTGCGCGCCGTCAACGCGATATCGCCCGAGCACGTTCGCGGCCGGAAGTAGCAACTGTGGGCGACGGCGGCACTAAGGGGGTGGAAATGTAGCGCATGGAAGCGTGTCAGTAGCGTAACGAAATGGCTCCGGGCAGTGTGTAGCAAACACGGGTACTGGTAGTACATTAAATATTAGAAATATCACCAAAAAAGTAGGCCCTCTTTTACCTAGGCCCGCCTGCATTGCGGGTCCGAACGTTACGCCGCTGGTAAGTGTGTGTAAGTAAGAGGTGAGGATAGCACAAGGAAGACGAAGGAAATATTGCGCGCATTCGGGACCTGTTTGTTCGGGTAGTGCTCCGTATTCGCCTAGAGTTGATCAGAGAAATCATGGAAAACTACCTACTCAGAGCAGCATACTGCTGAAATTCTCCTCCAGACAGTTTCTGAATTCGAGCTAGCTATCCAGCTAGTGTCAAAAACCCTGCCACTATGAGAACTGGAACTCTAGGACTTCCCGGTCAGAGACAGTTTAGTGATATCAGTTGATGCCCTGAGAAATTTAAGTAATTGTCTTGTTCCTGTAATGGCAACTTTCTTTTCTGAATTTTTAATTATATACTTTTTATCCTTCATTCCCCTGAAAAAAGTCACAATACATGACGTAAATGTTATGTAAAGTGTTTCCATTGCAATGGTTGGTACATGTTGGTCATTTGAATTGTTTTAAAGTACTATATCAAATATAAATATCTATCAGCATTTAGTACATTAAATAATAGAAATATCATCAAAAAAATAGGCCCATCTGTGATCAATTAAGTAGTGCAATTGTATGAAATGAAACAACTAATATTAAAATATAAAATAATATTTATTATGAAGCTTATTTATGCCAACAAAAATTGTGTATAATTCTCAAATATATTTTCTACTCTGACCTCTTTAAGAGAATAAATATACGTATGTTTCTGAAAATGATTTTTGTGCATAGGAGATGGTTGTCTGTGGATCCACGTGCAGAGCCTCGTGTAAGTGAAAGAGTTCCCTACATTGTGATCAGTGGAGCTCCCAATGTACCATTGATTCAACTTGTTAGGTCTCCTCATGATCTCCTGGCAGAACCAGGTCTTAAAGTTCATGCCCATTATTATGTGAGTCGTGTTCTCTGCCCACCTCTCGCTCGATGTTTCAGTTTACTTGGAGCAGATGTGATGTCCTGGTAAGAAAAGTGGTTCAATAGTTTGCAACTATATTATTTACTGAAGTTTTATATATTCAATTTTCAACTTGACTCTATCTCATACCCATTAAAAAAAGTTTCTTTACACAAAATCAAGGAAGTTGGATTGTAAAAATGTAACGATATATTTTTAAACAGGTATACAGATCTTCCTCGTCGGATTGTTCTCTCACTTCCTAAATCAGTGTCAATTAAAGAGCACAAAAAATTTACTATTTCGCAATATTTTTCTACATCAAATTGTGCTGTCTGCCATCAGATTTGTCAATCAGGAATTTGTGGTGATTGCCAAAAGCAGCCTCAAATTACTGCTGTATCTTTGGCAACAAAAATACATGAATGGGAACGTCATTTCTACAATTTAGAAAAGGTAAGTGTGGAGCTTGTATATATTTCAGGGATCTAAAGGTAGATAAGATAATAAGTTACCATTGTTCCTTATATGATAGTATCATTTATTTTACTTACAACTCATACATTTCATTTGCTTCTGTATTGATGCAGTTCATTTTGTTCTCCTTTTTTTCTTTCTTCTGATTTTGCTAACAATTTGGAAAAATGAGGAAATTTTCTATTACTTAGAAAAGCCACTTAATTCTCATGTAATCACACAGAATATCTAATAGTCAATTGAATGTTACGTAGACTTTGAGATCTGCTCATTTTGGGGCACAATACTTGGGATTGGAGGAACCCAGGACGGCTAAATCTCCAAAAATGTATTACACTGTTCCAAAATGTCTCATTTTGTAGAATTCAACTTCTGAAACATAACTCAGAGTCACATATCTGTGGCATAACTGTCTCCCCCATGTTGCACCACAAATAGATTGCTTGTTCCTCCTCCTAATTCTCTCCTTCTTTCCCATTTCCATTACAACTCCAATGCATGCTCCCTCACTTGTTTACCTGGGAATTCAGAGGTTCATTTTAAGAATATTTTTTTATCATGAAATACATTCATTGACATTATGGAGGCAGATAGTGCTGTGGCTCCCCTGGTAGATGAAACAACATTCTGAAGAGCCAAACCTCCAAAAATGTAATAGAAAGGCCTAAAAATGAATATTTTTGTCTTTTCCAAATTGACAGCATGTATATTGATTTTAGGAAATCTTTTGATTGGATCAATCACACTATTATTAATTCAAAAACTGAGATATTCTGATAAAGCACACTCCCCTTTCCAATGGTTTACTCATTACTTCCTAAATACAATTCACCTTGTAAAATACTCATATAAGAATTTGTCATCAGATGAAATTCGAGATTTCTCAAAGTTTGTCATATATGTAATTATTATCATGAACAGATGAAGTAGAGGCATGGATTAATTTGTTCATAGTATCGAGATATTAGCCTGTTCATTTTACTATTTCACGTTTCTCTTATTCTCTTCCAAAATGTTCCGAGTCTTCCCAGCTTTTTCTTGGCATGCCTGAGACTCTTCTTCCTCTTGGTTTGTAATTGAGTCCCTCTCTAGGGATATATACTATTGTTGCGTCATACGGGTGTAATCGGAACACAGACGAGACTGGTTTGTAAAACAATAGATTTATTCACAATCTAGACCGTAGTCTCAATTAAACAACTACCCTGCTTACAATAAACTAAATAAATAGACCCACTACAAGGAGAGATAATTTACGAACGGATACCACAACGCAACATACTACCGATGTTCTCTGCGTGAAGCAGCGCACTACCTCGTGACCGTCTACGCGTCTCGCAAGTCACGACAATAAATTGCCAACCCCTCGCCCTAGTGCACCTACACGCACAGACACGCGCATCTCCTGTCGTCGACGCCGCTAGTAGATGGGGCATTGTTCTCCTGGCCTGTAGATGGGGCATTGTTCTCCTGGCCTTATATAGGCCCTTTGACGCTACCCGCCGCCCCCATTGCCTCCTCTCAACCGCCGCCCTAGCCACGCTACGTCCACGAAAGTCCCAGTGCGTCATTACTTCGCCCTTTGTTCAACATCCGGCGATGCCCGTCGAGTGTTTTTAGCACGACACGACTCTACACTATCTTCAATCTTTTTGTATGTTCTTGGTTTTTCTTTTGGTATTTTTTCTTTATTTCTAAAACCTTTCCCTTCCTCTCTCTCTCGCTCTCTCTCTCTCTCTCTTCTCTCTCTCTCTCTCTCTCTCTCCCCTCCCCCTCTCTCTCCCCCTCTCTCTCCCACCTCTCTCTCCCCCTCTCTCTCTCCCCCTCTCTCTCCCCCCCTCTCTCTCCCCCCCTCTCTCCCCCCTCTCTCTCCCCCTCTCTCTCTCCCCCTCTCTCTCTCCCCCTCCTTCTCTTCTTCCCCCTCTCCTCTCCCCCTCTTCTCTCTTCCCCCTCTCTCTCTCTCTTTTCTCTTTTTCTTTCTCTCTTCTTCATTTCTTATTTTATCTTTCCTTGATATTTTCAAAGTTGTTCAGATATTTCTTGTGGGCAGCTTTTATCTTTCTTTTTGTTTTAATACCTAATAGTGGCTATCAGAACAATTAATGCATAAAAACTTTGTTTTTATGAGTGATATTTTTATTTTATATTACTTTGCATTTGTACTGTCCTCTGTAAATCATCTTCAGATATTGCTTTTTGGGGGGAGTTGTCCGCGTATAGTATTGTCTTTAAATTCTGTTCATGTCTCGTAGTGGAACCAGCTTCTATTTTCTTTTTCCATGTTTTGATCATGATGTTCATGTATAAGTGAGAATAGTGTGCATCCTTGTTGTACTCCTACTTTAACTTCCTTGTATACATATATTTTTTTTAAAAGAATTAATTGTATACAAAAACCAAAAATTATAATAACAACAGTGATATTAAACTTGAGTTCCAATCCTTTTCTTTTTATGATTATGTGCTTTTTCTACATTAGTTGTCTGTCAAAGTGCATTCCTAAGTATTTAATGGTATCTGCCTATGGCAATAATTTATTATTTATTTTAATTGAGGGACAAGTGGTCTTTAGGTGAAAGTCACATGAGAAGATTTTGTTCCATTAATTTGAATTCTCCACCTTTTGAATTCCATTGATAATTTGTTTAAATGTTCCTTGAGCAAGTCTGAGGCTATTTCGTGATATTCATGAGAAGTTAGAACTGCCATAACGTCCGCATAAGTTGCAGTGGCGATATTTTCAGACATTGGAAGATCTGCTGGATAAAGTAAATACAGAATGGGATCCAGCACACTTCCTTGTGGCATGCCAGACATAATGGGAAATATTGTGCTGTATGCTTCTTGATGTTCCACTTTAAAAAATCTTTCAGAGAGATATGATTTTAAAATGATGAAGTATTCTGATGATAACAAGCTTTTGATTTTGTATAAAAGGCTAGTGTGCCACACCTTATCAAAAGCTTGGGTGACATCAGTAAACACAGCTGAACAGTATTGTTTTTTCAAGCTTTTATTTATTTCGTTTACTATTCTATGTACTTGTTTGATTGTGGAGTGAGATTTCTTGAATCCACTCTGATAAGTATGTGGATGTTTAAGCATTGCAAAAACAGTTTCTCAAAAGCCTTGGAGATTGTAGGTAATAGACTGATAGATCTACGTGATGAGACATTGTGTATGGGTTTACTGGGTTTTGGTATAAAAATTACCTGACCTCTACCTTCCATTGAGAAGGGTAATGCCCAGTTCTTAAAATAGCGTTGAATATTGATGTTACTAGGTAATTTCTTCAGCATTTCGTCATTTATTAAGTCGTAACCTGGGTCACAGGTAGTAAGGGCATTTGAAGATATGTTTCTATTTCAAGTTCCGCTTCTGAGTCAGTGGGTGGATATGGCTGGAATACTTTTGCAAAATGTTGCACAAATGTTGCCTTCTCTGTATCAATTCCTCCCCTCTAGTTGTATTTAACCTAGAACCCCATGCTCGATGTTTTGCATTATAATCTCCACCGACGATGCATCTCATTCCAAAGGATTTAAAAAATTTCTCAAAATCATTCCGTTTCACTTTGTGCTTAGGTGAGCAATAGATAGCAGATATACTTAAGAGCCCTTATGAGTCTTCTTCTTCTTTTCTTCTTCTTTTCTTCTTCTTCT